CAAAGGAAATAAACAGAGGAGAAATAGAGAGCGTGTATATACCACGCCACTGTAGAAACCAGGAAGCAGAGGCTTCAAGAAGTGAGGTTCATGCTGATTCGCCATCTGCAAACAAGAAAAGAATTAGAAACATTTTAATTCTAAGTCGTCTGGGTCATCCACCTGGAAGACTTATATTAAGTCGTCTGGGTCGTCCACCTGGAAGACTTTCCACACGACTTAATTATAAGTCTACCAAGATTTCCAGAAGAACATTTGAAAGCTGACCAGACGAATGAGAGGAGAACAACATCCAACCTAACTAGAACACAAATCGATTGAAATCCCCAATCTTTGAAACCCTAATTTGAAATAAAAATATCCACAAATTGCTTGCAATCACAAATCGTAACCGTAAAATGAGAGGAAAACAACATCCAACCTAACTAAACAACAAGTCGATTGAAATCCCCAATTTTTGAAACCCTAATTTGAAACCAAAATTTCCCGAAATCGTTGAAAACACAAAACCAAACGGTAAAAGTAAAGGAAAACAACATCCATCCTAATAAAAACCCATAAATCTGCAAGAGAAGCCTTCGATTTACCTTGGTCTTGTATCGGATCGAAATCGCCTCGAAATCACCTTTAAGAGAAACGGCGTTAGGGTTTTCTGAATTTCGCGAAAAAGTGAGTAAAAAAAAACATCTTATATATGTTCGGTAAAAAATACGGTTAGGTTTAAAAGTAATTTGGTAAAATCCGGTTTGGACGACTTATAAAAAGTCGTCTGTTGATACTATACATCCAACTAAGTCGTTTGCATTATTAAATATATTTACCAGACAACTTACCAGACCCTAAACCCTAAACCCTAAACTAAATTGACTAAATTAACTACTAACCACGTTATAAAATCAAATTATACTTAAATAGTGTTTACTATACACAGAAATAAACACACTTAAGTAAATTTTTAATTTTTCAAAAAAACATTTATGCTTTCGAATTTCTAACCCTAAGAAACACATATAATACTACAACATATGTTGGTGAAACCTAAACTAAAGAATATCATGACTCACTATTTTCTCTCATCTATGCTGAAAACAACTGACTTTTTTAATATCTTAATTTATATCTCTTAAGACATATGTTAATTACATAATCTCAATTTTTCATTTATCAAGATATTTATTACACAATTTTTAAATTATTTTTAAGAAAAACTGTCCCAGACCACTAGCGAGGGCTAGAGACGTAAAAAAAATACTTTTGTTTGTTTGTTCACAAGAGATTGGTTGTAATTTCAATAGTCTTTTAAGTTACTTTTGCATTTGATTCAAGTTTTGGTTTACTTTTGCATTTCAAATCAAGTTTTGAGTTATATTTGGCAATTTTCCCAAAAATCATTTACCAATTTTTTTTTAAAAAATATATTTTCAATTTTATTATTTGATTTAATTAATAATTAATTAAAATTATACATGGTGATAGAATTGTCATTTAACCCGTTGATAAAAATTACTTTGGTCGCTTTGATATCTTCGAGGCTATATTATAGAATTAAAAAGAGGCTATTTAGAAATTTTGTCTAAAAAAGAATTAGATTAAAAAAGGTCTTACAATATTTTATGTGTATATATTTTTTTGTATTGTCAATTTACAAAAAAGTATCACTTATACAAAATATTAAAGGAAAATAACTTAATAAAAACCTTATGAATATAAATTTGAACAGTTTTATTTTTTGTTGTGTTTTGTTTTAAGACCCATAAAATGTTAAGCTGCTCGGCCGTGTTCGAAAGTTCTCTTTTGTTCGCATCTTATAGTCCAAGAATATTGAAATATAAACGTGTGGTTGACTGAATAAAATGTTGGATTCTCATCTTTCCACTCGTCCTATAATATGAAAATGACAATGTTCCGTACTTGATTGGGTAATAAGTTGGACTCTCGTCGTGACAGTTACGGCAAGCTTTCTATATAAAGTAATGCAAAATTCTGGAACATAAGTGTGGTGCTTGATTGTTAACTCAAGTCCTTGAGTCTTTTTTTTTTCTTTTTGCTTCTTGCTCTTGTTAGTTATTGGAGAGACAATAGCACATGGGGAAGATCAAGAGGATCGTGCTCTTTGCTTCTTTGCTTTTCTTTACAATCTTTTCAAATTTTATCTTTGCACGGATAACTACAAATAATACTTTGTCAATAGGACAAACTCTGTCAATAGGACAAACTCTCGGCTCCTGTAATGGATTTTATGAACTTGGATTCTTCAGTCCTAATGACTCCCAAAATAAATATGTCGGGATCTGGTACAAGGGTATCACTCCCCGGGTGGTTGTGTGGATGGCCAATAGAGAAAAACCGGTTACAGACACCACGGCAAATCTAGCTATCAACAGCAATGGAAGTCTTCTCTTATTCAATGGCAAAAATGGCGTTGTCTGGTCCACTGGAGAAGCTCATGCATCTAACAGGTCTCATGCAGAGCTTTCAGACACTGGGAATCTTATTGTCGTAGACAAATTTTCTGGAAGAACTCAATGGCAAAGCTCTGACCATCTTGGTGATACGATGCTCCCTTTGTCATCCATGATGTATAATCTCCTCACGGGTGAGAAGCGGGTGTTGACTTCTTGGAAAAGTTACACTGACCCATCGCCTGGTGACTTTGTACTTCAGATGACACCGCAAGTGCCATCACAGTTGTATACTATGAGAGGCTCGACTCGTTATTGGAGAAGCGGTCCATGGGCTAAAACTAGGTTCGCCGGGATACCATCAATGGATAAGACATATGCAAGTCAATTAAGCCTTCAGCAGGATGCAAACGGGTCAGGATCCTTCACTTATCTTGAAACAAGACCTCGTTCACGTATGATGATAACCGTAGATGGCTTCGTGAGGGTTTATTGGCGTAGCGGAAGCAATTGGATATCAAAATATGATGCTCTACTTTCATGCGATATTTATGGTACGTGTGGACCTTTTGGGTTGTGTGTACCTCCAAAGTGTAAATGCTTAAAAGGGTTCGTACCAAAATACATTGAGGAGTGGGAAAGAGGAAACTGGACTGGTGGTTGTGTGAGACGTACCGAACTTCAGTGTCAAGGAAACTCTACTGACAAAGATGTAAATGTCTTCCATCCTATTGCCAATATAAAGCCTCCAGATAATTACGAACTTGCAAGTTCAGCAAATGCCATCCTGTTCGCTAAAGATTGTCACCAGATATGCCTCCACAATTGTTCTTGCTTGGCCTATTCTTTTATTAATGGTATAGGGTGCTTAGTGTGGAGCCAGGAGCTAATGGACGTGGTGCAGTTTCCTGCAGGAGGAGAACTTCTTTCCATTCGTCTTGCACCTTCTGAACAAGGTTCGGCTTACAAGATAACATGAAAGAGCTACTTCGTCAATTCTCTTTGGCTTATTGATTAATTTGTTTGTCTCAAACATTTCAGGCGGAAGCAATCGCAAGAAGACCATTGTTGCTAGTGTTATAAGCCTTTCTCTTTTTGTTTTATTAAATTCTGCTGCGTTTGGTTTCTGGAGATACAGAGTGAAACTTAAAGGTACATACTGCTGATCTTACTATCTCTCAAGCCTTTTTTTTCAATTATCAAAAGGTTCGGCCAAAGCCCTATTCCCCCCAGCCCCGAAATCACAACATGTAATATTAGTTTAGTCTCAATGGTCACTCCAACTGGGGACCTCTAACACAATGGCCAAGGTCCTTTCCAGTTAAGCCAATGACCTCTGGTTATCTCTCGAACTAGGGATGGGTGTTCGGATACCCGTTCGGATTCGGATCGGGTATTTCGGGTTTTTGGATATTTTGGTATTAGGGTTTAGAACCCGTTCGGGTATTTTTACATATCGGGTCGGGTTCGAATATTTTTAGTTCGGGTTCAGCTATTTCGGGTCGGGTTCGGATATTTAGATTTTGAAAAAAAAAATCAAATTCCTTATTACTTAAGTTTCATGTATTTAAAATTTAACTATTAACTTAACAGTTTTTAAAATGTTTAATAAGTTTGACGATTAATAAGTTTGAAAATAAATTATTGAAAACAAAAATCATTATTTTGGTTGTTATATTCGAATTTTGGATGCAAATTTTGTTTAAAATATGAAATAAGAATCTTAATATGTATTTTAAATGAGAAGCGAATCATTTTAAAAAAAAAAATTATATGTATATTATCTGATCTTAAACTATATATAACATTAATATAAATATTTTTAATAAAATGAGACAAATAAACTAGGAATAAATAGGTATATATACATATGTTCGGTTATCTTCGGATATCCGTTTGGGTTCGGGTATTACCCGTTCGGGTTCGGATATCCAAACTCTCCTAACTCAATACCCCTTCGGGTATTTTGCTACTTCGGTTCGGATTTCGGTTCAGATATTTCGGGTCGAGTTCGGGTACGAGTTCATGTATAGATAAAGTGCCCACCCCTATCTCAAACTATTTCTTCTTGTTTATATGTACATTCCTTGCTAGTGGTGGTAACACACTGAAGCCATTATTATGTATTCTTTAAAATCAAGTTTCAGCTAAGAATGCTTCACAAGATGCAGGGAGAAATTATCTAGAACCACAAGATGTCAAAGGTTTAAATTTTCTTGAGATGAATGCCCTTCAAACTGCCACCAATAATTTCAGTCTCTCAAATAAACTCGGGCAAGGTGGATTTGGCTCAGTTTACAAGGTTGAAGCTTTAATCCTCTGTGCTCTTTGTACTGTCTGTTTATGCTCTCAAGATGACACCTTGTGTAATCTGTTCCAGGGAATGCTGCAAGATGGGAAAGAAATTGCTGTAAAGAGGCTTTCTAGCAGTTCGGGGCAGGGCAAAGAAGAGTTCATGAATGAAGTAGTACTCATTTCAAAGCTACAACACAAAAACTTAGTTCGGATTTTGGGATGTTGCATTGAAGGAGAAGAGAGGCTATTAATTTATGAGTTTATGTTGAACAGAAGCCTTGACACTTTTCTCTTTGGTGGGTTCTTATCTCATTTCTTTGGTTTATGAGTTTTCCTCTATGTGTACAACACTTTTTCTGATAGCTTTTACATAATATTATTTCTTATAGATTCAAGAAAAAGGTTTGAGATTGATTGGCCTAAGAGATTCAATATCATCGAAGGCATTGCGCGTGGACTTTTATATCTCCATCGTGACTCATGCCTCAAGGTCATTCACCGAGATCTGAAGGTTAGCAATATTCTTTTGGATGAGAAGATGAACCCAAAAATATCAGATTTTGGATTGGCTCGAATTTATCAGGGAACCGAATATCAGGACAACACTCAGGGTTGTAGGAACTCTGTAAGACTCTTTAACTTCAAAAACAAAAGTAATAGTGATAATAATATGTTTAACTTCGGTGAACATTTTGATGTTTTCACAGAGGATATATGGCTCCTGAATATGCATGGAGTGGGATGTTCTCTGAGAAATCAGACATCTACAGCTTCGGAGTGCTGCTGTTGGAAATTATCAGTGGAGAGAAGATCTCAAGATTCAGTTGTAGCGAAGAAGGAAAAACTCTTATTGCTTATGTAAGTAATTTTTAGGTTTATATACACTTGCAAATGTTTCAAAACGTTTCTTGCTCTTATTAAACTATACAAACAGGCGTGGGAATCTTGGTGTGAAACCGGAGGAATTGATCTCTTGGATAAAGATGTTGCTGAATCATGTCAGCCATTAGAAGTTAAGAGATGTGTTCAGATTGGTTTGCTTTGTGTTCAGCACCAACCTTCAGACAGACCCAACACACTTGAGTTGCTCTCCATGCTCACCACAACATCAGTTCTTCCGTTACCAAAAGAACCCACATTTGTAGTTCACGCCAGAGAAGAAGAATCCTTGTCTAAAGGTTTGATCACTGCCAACGAGATATCACAAACTATGATCCTTGGGCGTTAAAAAAAAAGTAAATGCGTGATCAAAATCTGTGGAATTCAGTGTGTGTAGAATTTTTTTTCACGCTGGGGATAGCTGCTTCGTTATTTATTCTTCAAATCCCCCAATATATTAAAAGATAAGTCACTTTAATGAATTTTGTTTACGTGTCATTTATAGGTGCAATGTAGAATTAATTCTTTTAATTTGATTGGTTGTTGGCATTTGAATTTTTATTTATTTAAATTTTTTTTAAAGAAAACTAATCATATAATTACCTAATCTCATATATATATATTACCAAACAAACAATTAATCATCTTAAATACATAGGATTAATAGAGTTTGTTTATACAAACAATTAAATATCACATATTCCATTTTAAAAACTTAGAATATACATATAAATACATATTATATTAGAGAAATAAGTATATAAACGATTTTAATTTTTATTCTATTAATATTGGATAAAAAATCATACATTACAGAAAATAATAATATTTTTATACTCACTTATATATATATATATATGTATTCTTACAATATGTTCAATGAATGCAAAACTGTCAAATGTAAAATTTTGTAAAAAAATCTATCATTTTCCACAGATAAATATCGATAGTATAATTGAGTTATTACTTTCAAAAATTATTTAAGTATTTTTATATTTAAAACAAAAAATTATATGGTATGTCATTTTTAAAAATATGAATAAATGAAAAAGTTTATTATAATATAAAATTACAAAAAATCAAAACATTATATTAATACATGACTAGAGTTAATATTCTATTCGTATAATTTATATAGCTTTAAATATAATAAAATTGGCATGTTTATTTTTAATAAGAAAAAAAAGAAAAGAGACATAAATAAAAACATGAGTGAATAATAATAAAACCTTTTGTTGTATTCTTCGTTATTTTGTATTTGTACATACATAATTTTTTATTTGTATACCAAAATATTTTTTACGTATCAATATAATTGTAAACTAATTATTTTTAGGTGTTTATACAACATATAGAAAAATTGAGCAAGGAAGATAAATATAAATGATAAGTTATAAAATTGTTAATGTTGAAGATGCAAAATATAACGCAAATTAAATTTAAAATAAATTATTTTAAAATAATGATAAGTATTTTTTGCGGTGTAATAAACTTTTAAAATATATTATAACAAAGTTATAACAAAATTTATACAACTAGAAACATGTTATTTTGATATATTAAAACTGTTGAATCTCATGTTTATATTAATCTATGTCTAAAATAATGACTTCACATCATTTAAGAATTAAGATATTTTATGTTATATAATTATTTAATTAAATTTAATTTGTTTTTGGAATACAATTATTAGATTTACTTAAAATATGTATGTAATGAAGTAATTAAAAAATAATAATAAGATATTTATTTTTTCAATGAAAACCTTGGTCAAATGAATCAATGTTTGATAAGATAGTGTGAAGATTGGAGAGAATTTGATAATGAATTTATTTGGTTAGTCAATTCTGATTTTATATTAAATTCTAAATAAAAAAATATGTAAGAAAGGGGGAAAGAGAGGGAGATATGGTGATGATAAGGATTAGAGAGTCGGTTATGATCATAATGAAGATGAAAGTGAATATAAGTGAGAGACTGAATATAAGTGAGATAGATTCTGAAATCATTTATTAATATTATGTGAAAGTGTTTAGAAGAATTTAACAAAATCTGGTGAAAATTTTGCAAACAAAGAGAGATAGAGAGAGTTTTAAAGTGAAATATTGAGGATCATATTAAGGACGAGGATAAGCGAATGAATATATGTGATTGTGAGAGAGTGAATGTAAGTTTGAGAGATTTTGAGATTATTTGATCAACTAAGAGAGAGAGAAAGAAAGAAAAAGAGAGCAAGAGAGGTGTATAAAGACATACAAAATAATGCAAAGAGAGATACATAAGAAACAAAACGAATGTGTGAAAAAATACAAGGAGAAACGAAATGAGTAAGATAGAAAAATATATTAAAAACATAGTATCTATGTAAAAGAGAAAGAAAGTTACAATATATTTATTCATTTATATTATTTTTTATTCATGCAATGTATAGATTATATTCAATGTCCGCACATGCGTGCGGGCCATCCACCTATTATTTATTTATTCTTTTGTATTGGTGTTTTGTATTGAATGAAAAAAATGAATTTCTTTTTTTGGACAAAAAATAAAATGAATTTCTTAATTGTGTAAAGTTTATAATATATACTAGGTGGTTGCGCGCAATTTTGCGGATACGAACATTTTATAAAAACAAATTATATTGTATTTTGATGAAATTAAAATATATTTTTAATTGTTCCAAATTAAATGTTGGTTTCCAAAACTAAAATATTAAGTGTAAGCTTATATAAAATTTCTAATGTAACAAATTCATTTTAATTATTTATATATGAAAATAATTTATTATATCTTATGGATTTTGAATTATAATTATTTTTGTTATACTTTCTAGATTTTCCAAAATTAGTTTTTATAAATCATTATGTTTCATATTATTTGGATCATTTGGAAATGATATTAATTTGTTCTAAAATTACAATCAAACTAAAACATTTTATTTGAAAACTTTTCTTTGAGCGTGACACATAAGTATAAATCACTTAAGTCAATTAATACACAGTAGAATGATAACTAGTGGTTATCTGTGAATTTGATGATACAAATAGTTCTTAAAATTTAATCTAAAATATATGTTTTGAGAATAATATATTTTCATTTTTGAAACTTAATGTGAATTTTATTGGTCTAAATAAGTAAATGTATATATACTGATTATTTTCATTATTACATTTAAAATAAAAATATAAATTTTAATACTTTATTAGATTTTATCAGCAACTATAGTAAATATTAAGAAATTATTAATGTATGCTCTAAATGTCATTTCCAAATAACTATCCCATATAATAAAGATTTCTGAATATCATTCAATTAATATTACTTTATGTTTATACATCTAATAATATTTCTAAAATAATATATATACGATATCACAAATAATATTTTATTAATATTATATGCCCTAATAAAAATACCTAAAAAAAAATTTTATCGGCTTATATGACTTAGAATCACCATGTAAATTATTCAACATCAAAAATATGAAAAACAATTCTATAAATAGCCAAAAAAAACCCGGTGAACAATCTATATTATTATTTGAGAAGTAAATTTATTAGTTGTCAATTTTCCATGCTTTAGGTGATTTTCTTATTTGTCATGTTTTAATAATTTTACAGACAGTTTATTATATAATAAAAACAAACTTATTTAATAATATTATATAATTAGAAAATGAGTTTATTCCTATGTATTAGATTTTTATTTTGAAAACAAATGTCATACAATTTATTTTTTTAATAATTTCATCTATAATTTATTATTTAATAAAATTTTATTTATATTAATAATATTATATTTTTAGAAAATAATATATTTCATCGAGCGAATTGCATAAATACATATTCTTGAGTACACTAATTCACATTTACCTTAAGAGGGAGGACATTTTCATAAATACCTATATTACTAAAAGGTTAATGACCTTAATGTCCCTAGGTTAGTTGAGATTCATTTTCGTCTAGAAAGGAAAATAGATATTCCTCTCACGACGGCGACTCTGACGAAATCGGTTTCTCTCCAACGACGGCGACTCTGACGAAATTGGTTTCTCTCCAACGATGGCGACTCCGACGAAATCGGTTTCTCTCCAACGACGGCGAATTCGGTGACTCCGGTGGCGTATTCAATCAACGACGGAAGATCTTGACGGAGAATAATGTCGGCTCCTCAATCCAATTTCCAATTTGTAAGTTGCTAGATTAGACAAATCCGGTGAAAGGCGAAACAGATTTCTACGGGATCTTGCAGGAGATTTATGAAGTTCAATTCCCATGTATGAGTTTGAAATGCGTTATCTTCAAGTGTGAGTGGTACGACCCCATCGTCAACAGAGGTGTTTGCATTAACAAGAACGGTGTAGTTGATGTCAATGGTGGACGAGGGTACAACAAATTCTTTTTTTTGACATCCAGGTTTCGAGTACTAATTAATTTCTACGTTGACTTTATTTTTGTAGGTACAACAAATTCGAGCCTTTCATATTAGCTTCCTAAGCAGATCAAGTTTGCTTCATTTCATACCCTCGGATTACTACCTCGGGAATAAACTGGTTAGTTGTTATCAAAGTTACACCTCGAGGACGAATAATCGCTGGAGATGAACCACCATTACAAGAAGAAAACACCAATAAAATCGATGAACCTGAAGAAGAAATTGATGACATCCTACTCATTGATCCGCATAATCATGAATACGAAGATGTTCCTGATCACTCGACAGACGAAGGTGTTGAGGACGATTTTTACGAAAATGATGATGTTTAAACAGATTACGAGAATATATCCGAATGAATTATGTATGTTTTGTAAGTTTGTTTAATCACAAAAATGAATTTGAATTATGTATGTTTTAAGTTTGTTTAATCACAAAATTAATTTGAATTTGGGGTTTATGTGTAGAAGAGGTTTGGAGTTTGGTTGTAGAAGAGGTTATAAGTTAAAGAAGTTGTGGTTTGGGGTTTGGGGTTTCGAGTTTAGGGATTTACAAACCCTTTCCTCGTAAAACTCTAGTAACAGAAAACGCGGTCATAGTTGTTTCCTCGTAAAGTCCTAGTAACAGTATTACTAGGACTTTACGAGGAAAACTAAATGCGGGCATAGTTGTTTCCTCGTAAAGTCCTCGAAATGGAAAACGCGGGCATAGTTATTTCCTCGTAAAATTACGAGGACCTTACGAGGAAACAAAATTCCCTATATAAACTCGAGCCATCCGATTTTTCTCATTTGTAGCAATCTTCTCTCAAAATCCTCTTTAGGTTCTCTCTAATGCCTAGTTATGTGATTAGATTAGGGAATTTAGATTATGTGGTTAGTTTAGGGAATTTAGATTTTTTAAATGATACTAGTATATTAATGTTTTAATTTTTTTTTTTTTGAAAATTAGACGACTAGAAAGAGCAAGCTTGATAAGGCTAAGAGGCTTCTTCAGAGGAGTAATTACGGAGATATTTTCGGTCGTCACCCTGGTCCTCACGTAGGTGCATCATCTTCTTCAGCTCCCGGTTATTCGATTCCAGATGATGTTGTTCCCGAGACTCAGAGATCACCACCTCTTCCTACTTCTCCTCCTTCACCTCCTCCTCCTCCACCGGTCGCCGGGGTTCATCCCGATTTGGAGGTGCCGCCAAACGCTCCATTTACGGTGTACACGGTCGAGGATATTATGGCCCTAACAGGCATAGAAGGGCTGCCTAAGTTAGATCATGTCCGACGTGACGGCCGCAACATATTATGGTATGTTTCAATTTTTAAAAAGTGTTTTTAATTTATTTCTTAATTAACAAAAAACTTACAAATTAATCTAATTAATGTTTTTTTTTCCAGGCTTGGTATTGACGGATGTGTCGCTCAGAGCGTCACTGATTGTATCAAGGGATACTTTCCCGATCCAGCTCCAAACTGGAAAAAGACTCCCAGTCACACAAAAAAGACGTGGTTCAAATCGTTCGCTGTAAGTCATTAATTAATAAACTTAATTTTTTTAATTATTTAAAATTTTTAATAATATTGAACTAATTACTCTAATTTTTTCTGGTTACAGCAAAAATATCGTTGGTCTATAGGGATTCACCAGCGGGTGAAGACGGAGTTTGAGGCGAAGGCAAAAGAGCGATTGCTCGACATGGTCTACAACTGGAAGGGCGACTTTCAGGTGTGGATTTATAAATTATATATATATATATAGAGTTTTATATCATTGACTTCAAATATCATTTTAAAATTATTTTTTGTTCAGGTGGATGGTTACGAGGAGGAGAAACCCGATTGCCTTACATTCGACGTGTGGGATGGCCTCATCAGATATTAGGGGTTGTCGGACTCGGTCAGAACCTCCCACACAAACTGCGAGAACCGCATGATAAGAGATGAGCATGGCAACACGAAGATGCTTCACACCGGGGGGTCGAAAACCTCACGGGGGAATCCGTCTAGGCATGGTAAATTAATTTTTAATAACTAATTAATTTTTACTCTATTTGTATATTCCTAATTAATATTTAATTTTAAAAATTATTTTTAAGCTAAAGAGACAGGAGTTCTTCCATCTCTGAAATAGCTTTACGAGAGGACCCACCGGAACAAGGTTGGGCATTTTGTAGATCCTAGATCCGAGCGGATCTACAATGAGGTTGTTGCTCGGGTTGACTAACGCCAGACCCAGCTGACTCAGCAGTATGAGACACCAATCATATTATCCACTCTTGAAGTGGATAAGATTTACGATGAGGTAAATAATTTGTTTTTCTATTAATTTTTATTATTTATTTAATTTATTTTTTTAACGTTATTAATCTTTTTATTTATAGGTCGTCCCTAGGAAAAAGGGGCATATCGTTGGGACTGGTTCCGTTAACGATGTTCCCATAGCGACATCGTCTTATGCTCAGGAACAGCACGATGTCACTGCTCAGCTGCGCTCGGAGTTGCAGGCTATGCAATCTCATGTGAGTTCTCTCACCAATGTTCTGGACGTTTTGGCGGTTGGAAACCCAGAATTAGCGGAGATGTTGCGTGTGAGACGGGAAAACAGAGGGCTTCCAACCCAACAGCATCCACCGTCACAGTCACAGCCGACGACCAACATTGACGAGGAGGAGTTGGCGAGCCGGGACGACTTCGTTCGGCAATTTAACGAGCACCATCCGTAGTTTTTGTTATTTTTAATTGTATATTATGAATTTTAAAACTTAAATATTTAGTTATTTATAAAATATTTTTTTATTTCTTTTTATTTATAATTTGATTTTTTATTTTTTTTAAATATATTCTTTAAATTTATAATTAATATTTTTTAATAGGAAAAAAACATTTCGAAGTAAACTTCTCGTAACATTTTGTAGGTCACGTCGTCTACTCAAACATTCAATACTCAAAACTATGATACAAGGGTATAAATTAAACATATTTTAAAAACAACACTATCACCTTGATTCTTTGCACAATTATTATCACCTTCACAACTTTTTTCATCCCCATAACTCTTTCATAGTCGCCGCCGCACTTGCAGAACCACCACTGCAATTCTTTCCCTACCATTTCAATGAAAACTCTGAACACATGAACACATACCTTAAACACGTCAACACTAATCCTGACCACATGAACACTGACTCTAACTCTGACCATATAAACATTAATCCTGATTCTGACCATATGAACACTGACTCTAACCACATATCTACCAACAACCACGTATCACCAAGCCAAGCTTCACCAGCCAACGTATCACCCAGCCACCCTTCACTCAACCACACTTTTCCTAACAACGAAAGGCAACAACCACCACTACAGGTATCTATCAAATCTGAAGCTCCTCCCAAGCCAGACATGGGTGACCAACATCCACACCATTTACGTAGAAGAACAAATAGGTGGTCATGATTGTTATTTAAATTTAAAAATGTTGACCACACATTTATCTGGTTGGTACTTGTTTTTATACCAATCGTTCGATTGAGGTTTATCACACTTTAATGTTTCCATTAAAATACACTACTTAATAAACTTACTAATTAACTACAACAAAAAAAGAGATTAATTAGTGTTTACTTTTTACGACCTAAGTTTTGTTTCCACCAAAAATATTTTGTAAATAGAAAATCAAAAAAGTAGTCTCAAAGAACAACTCCAGCAGGAAGTACCTCAACATGTTAAAGTTCAACGAAAAGTAACCCATGATGCAATGCTCTCAAATTAAACAGGTGATCCAAAACTGCAATTAATAGATGCCAGAGTTTGTTAGGTTCGATTCTAAAACTCAAATCTCAATAGTAAGTTACCCAGTTCTTGTTAAAGAAAACTATTAGATGTCTAATCTTCTTAAAAACCAACTCTTATTGCCAATTCAATGATTCAGACAACCGTCATATCATATTCGATTTGTTCAACTAAATTCCTAGATATAACTTTTCTCCTAATTTGAGAAAAGAGAATGACTATAATAGCATTAAAAAAAGTTTTATCACAAATTAATTTAGACATTAGGATTTATAGTTAAGAGGTGGGATTTATGATTTATGGTTTAGGGTTTAAAGTTTAGGGTTTAGAGTTTAGAATTTAGGTTTTAGAGTTGGGGAGTGGGGTTATGGAGATAAGATTTCAATTTTTGAAAAATAAAATTTTTTAAAAATTTTCAAAAGATAAAATGTTATTTTGGTCAATTTACTTTTAAGAACTATTTTTGTGACATAACTTAAAAAACTGATATTTTGGAAATTTGCCCTTGAGAATACAAGATATTCAAAAAACAATATGTCATTGTTTCTTGGATGGAGGATAAAAGATATTTTGTTAACCAAAAAGGCAATATTTGCAGTTCTGAACTCTAAACGACATGTCAATGACACAATCATAGTCTACAGATATATTCTCTATGAATGGGTAGACAAAATCTATGCTCTTAGAGATCTATTTTCGTTGACTTGGTCAAAGAAATTCCCTAATTGCTACTTAATATTTAATGTGGAAATTAAATTATATTAATGAAAATTAATTGTAAAACTTTGTTTGGGTTATAGACATGTTCCATGTATCATGCCTTAATTGGAGTATATGGTTGACAAAACAATACAGTAATTAAAAAGTATATTATTTCGTTTTCAATTGCGTTGCTGGTCAAAGTCTTTCACTTTTGGCGAAAAGCCCATATCTTTCTGAACTCGGTAACTGTCTCTGTCTGTCTTAAAAGTTCATGCGACGCTGTAGTTATTTTGAATGATATGGTTATCGTTTTACCTCTCGTGACATCATTCTCGGTCGGGATCTTTGGTCCAGCGATGATTGTAACATTCGGTGTCTTCCAGTTGTTCGATGAAATGCCTGAACGAGTTGAACGGATCTTTAAACCCATGAAATGTTTTAGGTCTGCTTCTTCTAAGTTGTTGATCTTAAATTTGTAGCTGGCACGTTGTTTTTATCAAAATGAAGCAATTTTTCAGCTCTGTATTGTCCGTCTTGAATCTTTCAAAAGCTCCAAATTTATTTGCTTTCTAGAAAGTTGACTTAAGTTATGAATACAACATGTTACATGTAAGGTTGACTTAGTTTTTTTGTTTCTTTGCCTTGTTTTATTGGTTGAATATTAGTTGTCACTGAGTAACACGTCAAAATGGTTTGTTTAGTGCTTGAAATATTCCAAGCATCATTCTGAACCAATAACATCCTCATGAAGTTACTGATATAGGATATATCTTGTGCAGAAATAGGAATAACACACGAAAAAGACGAGTATGGTTTTATTTGCTTGCTCTATTTTACTAATCATCTTCCCAACTTGTGGTTACGCAGCTTTAAACACATCAAGCTCTTTGTCAGTAGGACAAACTCTGAGCTCCCCTGGTGGGTTTTATGAGTTAGGCTTCTTCAGTCCTAATAATACCCGGAATCTCTATATTGGGATCTGGTTTAAGAAAATCGTTCCTCGGGTAGTTGTGTGGGTGGCTAACAGAGATAAACCAGTTACAAACTCTCAGGCAAATCTAACCATCAGCATTAATGGGAGCCTGATCTTGCTTGATGGGAAACAAGATGTTATTTGGTCAACAGGAGAGGCTTTCACATCCAACAAGTGTCATGCCGAGCTTCAAGACACCGGGAATCTTGTTGTTATTGATGATGTTTCAAGAACAACGTTATGGCAAAGCTTTGAGAATCTTGGTGATACTATGCTGCCTCACTCATCGTTGATGTATGATCTTTCCCATGGCAAGAAGCGTGTATTGACTTCATGGAAAAGTAAAAGCGATCCATCTCCTGGGAGCTTCTCATTGGAGATTACACCACAAGTCCCCTTGCAAGGCCTTCTGAGAAGAGGCTCGGTGCCTTACTGGAGAACTGGTCCATGGGCCAAAACAAGATTCACTGGGTTTCCACAGTTTGATGAAACGTATGTAAGTCCATTCACCGTTGTCCAAGATTTAACAACCGGTACAGGATCTTTCTCTTATTCCATGCTGAGAAACTTTAATTTATCGTATATTACCCTAACATCAGAGGGGGAAATGAAGATTTACTGGGATCAAGGGAAAAGATGGATGCATCACCTTACGGAGCCAGAACACCCATGTGATTTATACGGTACATGCGGGCCTTTTGGTTTGTGTGTGAGGTCCAGTACCCCGAAGTGTATATGCATGAAAGGATTTGTACCAAAGTCATATGAAGAGTGGAGAAAAAGGAACTGGACAAGTGGGTGTGTGAGACGTACACAACTATCTTGTGAGGCAAACTCTTCTCTGAAAACGCAAGGCAAAGAGACAGACGGATTCAATCGAATGACCAACGTAAAGACTCCGGATATGCACCATTTTGCAAGCTTTCTCGATGCAAAAATGTGCCACCAAGGTTGCCTTCGCAACTGTTCTTGTACAGCCTTTGCCTATATAAGTGGAATTGGATGCTTAGTATGGAATGGAGAGCTAGTAGACACAGTTCAGTTTTTGTCTAATGGAGAAACTCTCTCCCTCCGTCTTGCACGTTCAGAATTGGGTAAGAAGGAAACATATTTTTTCTAGAGATGATTAATTACATTTGAAGATTCAACTTTCTTTATCCTGTTCTGTACCAGCTGGAAGCCTTCAAGCCAAGATTTTGGTTGGTACTGCTGCTAGCCTGTCCATTTTTGTGATATTGGTTGTTGCCGCATATATGTTATGGAGATACAGAGATGGGAAAAATGGTGAGACATTGCAGAACTTAGCAGCTTTATTTCTCTCACTCTCTTTCCTTGTTCCAATATTTGTTCTTAATCAGTTTTATACTAACTGGTGCAAGATGCATCGGAGAATGAAATCGAGCCACAAGACATATCAGGCGTAAATTTCTTTACCATCCAGACCATACGAACTGCCACCAATAACTTCAGTTCCTCAAACAAACTTGGTCAAGGTGGATTTGGTCCGGTGTATAAGGTATGTGATAATATGCTCTATTTGCTTCTCCTCTCTATATTTCTTGTTCTCCAGATTTATCTAAAACTATTCTTCCAGGGAGTCCTACCAGATGGGAAGGAAATAGCTGTTAAACGCCTTTCTAGTAGCTCTGGTCAGGGCACACAGGAGTTCATGAATGAGATAACATTAATCTCAAAACTACAACATAGAAACTTGGTTCGTCTTTTGGGATACTGCATAGAAAAGGAAGAGAAGCTATTGATTTATGAGTTTTTGGTGAACAAAAGCCTTGATATATTCCTCTTTGGTCCGTCCTTTATTCCATTTACCTTTTCATTTTTCTTTTCCTTTTATCTTATGATAATAGTTGGTGTGTTACTGTCACTAGATTCAACTCTAAAACTTGAGATCGATTGGCCACAGAGGTTCGACATCATTCAAGGTATTGCGCGTGGACTTCTCTATCTCCACCGTGACTCGCGCCTTAGGGTCATTCACCGAGATCTGAAGGTTAGCAATATTCTTCTGGATGAGAATATGATCCCAAAAATATCGGATTTTGGATTGGCTCGGATGTTTCAGGGAACCCAATTTCAAGACAACACTCAAAGGGTTGCAGGAACTTTGTAAGAACCTGTCTTCAACGAAATGCTTAACAAGAATCCATTCTTTATCATCCTATAATATATTAACAATCTGAGGAAACTGTTTGTTATTTGAACAGAGGATATATGTCTCCTGAGTATGCATGGGCAGGGTTATTCTCCGAGAAGTCTGACATCTATAGCTTTGGAGTTCTGATGTTGGAAATCATCAGCGGAAAGAAGATTTCAAGGTTCACCTTTGGTGATGAGAACAAAAGCCTTATTGCATATGTAAGTGAATGATTTTTTATTGTCTTCAAGTGCAGACATTTCCAGGCACCATTACAAATATGTTCCTCGTTATTCAGGCTTGGGAATGTTGGTGTGAGTCCAGGGGATTTGATCTTCTGGATGAAGATCTTAATTATCCGTGCAACGCCATTGAAGTTGCGAGATGTGCTCAGGTTGGTCTTCTCTGTGTCCAACAGGAAGCTGCAGACAGACCAAACACTCTTGAAGTACTGTCTATGATTACTTCAACAACAGTTCTTCCAATTCCAAAGCAGCCAATATTTGCGGTGCAGACTCAAAATGTGGAAACTTCTAACGATGTGTCATCGTCTAAAGATCTTTTCTCTATCAATGAGTTGACACACTCTGTGATCCAAGGACGATAAGCTCTTATTATTCATGAGCCTAAGATTTTGAGATCTCATGTTTTTGTTATCCTTTAACACAATTTTTCGTTCACTTGGTCAAATACTCAAAACAGGTTTATACTGTTATTGATTGTGCATCACATGCGTTTGTACTTGTTGATATCATCTTCTCTTGAGTTTTCGGCAGTGAAAGTCTGCTGACTTTAATTACGGTCTTCAATGCCCAGATGCTCGGAGTTGGCCATGCTATTCAGGGTAAGAGCTGACGCTTTCTTTAATGGACGTTACCTTTGTGTTCAACATTAGAACTTTTGTCTCTGAATGAATGTGCTCAGTGAAATGCGTGAATGAGAGATGTCAAGCTCTGAAGTCTAGCAGTAGAGACCAATAGTTGAAGCCGCCCATCAAAGTCCTACCTCCACTATCAGCAATAAGGTAAGGTTTTAATGGTTTTTTCATCTTCCAAATTCAATTGCTTATGCTTTCAGAGTTTTGAATCACTTGAAGCGTATGGTTTAATTATGTGTCAGAGCTGATGAATCTACAAAGATATTCTTGAATCCTTGAATATTGCGAGTAGGATGATGCATAAATCTAGCTCTGTTTTGTTTTTGTCTTTTGGTTACATACCTAGAAAATATGGAATGTGAATGCTTTGTTTGTGATGTGATTGGTTAGATGGAACGTTGTTAACTTCTTTTACTGTTAAAGTGTTAAGGGGCCAGAGATGGGAATGTTCAAAGTTATCTGCCGAAGCAACATGGAATATAATTGTTATGAGTGGAGGGATTGTGATACTAGTTGTCAATGTGGTCTATGATTTTTCTTTATATGATGCGGTCTAGATGGCTTATCGTATTTTTAAATCTATTATAATAGTTGATTGATATTTACTTTAAATTTTATATTAATTTATAGTTTGTATGTATAATTTGTATTAAGTATATTGTATTATTTTAGTTATTATAATTTATATATATATTATATTTAGTCAGTTTTATCATATATATATATATATATATATTGGATTTTTTCTATTTCTATGAATTCAACTATATTTTTTTTTATTCTAAATAACTTAAATTTTTGATTAATTATTTTATTTATATTTATGTTGGTTGTTATCTACGAAATATAAGTATATCTTAGTAAGATTATGTATTTTAAGATTTTTTATGCCTAGAACGAAAAAAATAAAAACTAAAGTGTCTGATTCTAAAATACATAAGTAATAATAAATTTTTGAAAGCTTATGAACACATATGAATATTTACAATAATTAAAATATTTTATAAATTCTAAATAATTTATGCCACAGATTGATTGGATGATAAACTGAATTTTATTTTAAAATAATTTTAAAAATAAGGAATTCTGATTTGCTTTACGTATTAGATTATGGTTATATTAAATTCCAAAAACATAAAAACAGAAAATTAAACATCAAAAGAGTTATTAAGAAAACAGATAATTTTAACTATTAATTATAATATATCTACCTTGTTAAATTATAGTGTTATGATATATTAAAAGAATTGTAGTTATTTGATCAAAAGATGTTTATTATTAAATTTATTTTTAGTTTTGTTTTTAACATCTATTAAAATATGCAGTAAANAACAGAAAATTAAACATCAAAAGAGTTATTAAGAAAACAGATAATTTTAACTATTAATTATAATATATCTACCTTGTTAAATTATAGTGTTATGATATATTAAAAGAATTGTAGTTATTTGATCAAAAGATGTTTATTATTAAATTTATTTTTAGTTTTGTTTTTAACATCTATTAAAATATGCAGTAAAAATGTGATTGTTTTTGAGAAATTATATTATATAAGTAAAATATAATTTATATTTTTTGCTGTAATTGTAAGATATTATAATCAAATAAACATACTAAAAGAATATTTCAATAATACTAATTATAATTTTTTTTGTCAGTTAAACATATATCAGTTTCTGTTACTTAATTATTTTATGTAATCATCTAATAAAATAGATAGATATATCAAAAAATAATTAATTTGAAAATATATATTTTATTGTTTAAATTATTTTTTTAAAGAAAAAATATTTGTTTTCTAATATCAAGATTATTTGTATGAACTTTTTTAATGAAAACACATTATATAAATATTATTTTCATCTAGGAAGATATAGATATGAAGTATTTTATTACTTAAAAGTATAATTTATGTTATTTAAAAATATATTTAAGTTAAATATTACCATTTTATAAACTTTCCTTTTTTATGAAACCATATTATATATATACTTATTTTTTCGTTTTAAATAGTTTTGTAAATTTTATAAATATTTCCTTTTTGTTTTAAAATATATATTTTATTGTTTAAATTATTTTTTTAAAGAAAAAATATTTGTTTTCTAATATCAAGATTATTTGTATGAACTTTTTTAATGAAAACATATTATATAAAAATATTATTTTCATCTAGGAAGATATAGATATGAAGTATTTTATTACTTAAAAGTATAATTTATGTTATTTAAAAATATATTTAAGTTAAATATTACCATTTTATAAACTTTCTTTTTTTATGAAACCATATTATATATATACTTATTTTTTCGTTTTAAATAGTTTTGTAAATTTTATAAATATTTCCTTTTTATTTTAATTGTTATTTGGAAGATTTTAAAAAGAAAATAATAATATTTAAATATATTTTTAATTCATTAGGGGTACAATAGTAATCAACCAACGTGAGAGTTAACGTGAACGGGACACCTAAGAAAGTGACTTAATAATACTAATTATATCTTTAAACATATATCAGTTTATGTTACTTAATTATTTTATGTAATCATCTAATAAAATAGATAGATATATCAAAAAATAATTAATTTGAAAATATATATTTTATTGTTTAAATTATTTTTTTAAAGAAAAAATATTTGTTTTCTAATATCAAGATTATTTGTATGAACTTTTTTAATGAAAACACATTATATACAAATATTTTTTCATCTAGGAAGATATAGATATAAAGTATTTTATTACTTAAAAGTATAATTTATGTTATTTAAAAATATATTTAAGTTAAATATTACTATTTTGTAAACTTTCATTTTTTATGAAACCCTATTATATATATACTTATATTTTCGTTTTAAATAGTTTTGTAAATTTTATAAATATTTCCTTTTTATTTTAATTGTTATTTGGAAGATTTTAAAAAGGAAATAATAATATTTAAATATATTTTTAATTCATTAGGGGTATCATAGTAATCAACCAGCGTGAGAGTTAACGTGAGCGCGACACCTAAGAAAGTGACTTCTCAAATAATATTATAGAGATATAAATAAGATGTGTCCATACATCCTAGATGCTCTAACACTTGTAAAATGTCTCTTTGACATATGCAGCTCTCTTGAGACTAAAACAAAAAGAAAATTGAGTTTACACCGCAAAGACACTTACTTTCATGGATGTCGAACATCTCTTCCAGCTCCTTGAACAGATCAATTAATTCATAATAATGCTATTTGTTTAGAGGATACGAAAAAAATGATCACATCCAAAAATGTTTACCAGTTTCAAACTTTCAGTATGTCACCGGGTAACTATAAAAAAGGTATATATCTGTTGATAAGTTAAAAGAGTATGTGAGATCCCATAATAAGGTTTACAAGGCATGATATCAATAGAGCAATATAGCCTGCAAATGACATTATAAATTAGGCGTGCTCATTCATCAAAACTGTTATGTGAGGTCCCCATTGCACCCTAAAGATGCTTCACAAGTTACAACAAACACTGTATCTCCATAACGACCACTGAAAGGCAGATGCAGACGCGGTCCAAAACTCTCTGTTGTAAAGTTGAAACAGAGTAAAAAAGAGTCTTCTTATTTTTTCTTGTAGTGCAAGCTTTTTCTCAGCAAACTAGGGATGTTCAATATGGTAATACCGAACCGTACCGAACCGAACCGAACCGAAATAGACAATATGGTTTGGATTTGGTATATATCATATAAACCGAATGGATATGATTTTATAAAAACCGTAGGATTTGGATATGGTTAAGTTTATAACCGATTAAACCGAATAAATCAAACAAAACCGATCAAAGAAAAAGTATATAAATATATACATTATATAACCATTTATTTTCTTGGAATAGTCTTTTTTTTTTTACTTTTTTTTTTCTTGTGAAGATATATCTTAATAATTTTATTTTATTTTCTTCAACTATTATCTAAGTTTGATTTTATTTTGCATGTTGTAAGAAATTGTGAAATTAGAATGTACCATGTAATTTATTTGGAAGAACAAATAGAAAATAAGAAAAGCTATACAAAGGTGAATCGTTGATCATTTTGTTTGTTGTTAATTTCACATTTTTATATTTATGAACACCTAGGATTATTTTAATAAATGATAATTTTGACAATATGTTTTTTTTTAAATTCATATAATATGAAACCAAATCAAATAATAATGTTATTTGGTATAAAACCGAATAAACCGAAAACCGGTAGTATAAATACCGAACCAAACCAAATTAAATATGGTTCTAATATGGTAGCTGATTTTTATAAACCGAATAACCGAAAACCAAAAAAACCGAACCGAAACCGGACCGAACACCAGATTGAACATGCCTACAGCAAACCAGTAAATATTTCCTTTGAGAGACCAGACAAGCCCAGAGCCGGGCTTGTGGGTATTTATTTGAAACATTTGATTTCCCCCACTTTTATGGGGACCCTATTTAAAAAAAATTGTTGAGCATATATATAAATATAACTAGTGTTAAATCTATAAGAAATTCAAAATAAAAACTAAAAATTAAAAATACTTCAAAAAAGTATTTATAAAATAAAAATATAATTTGGTTATTATGTTTTAAATATAAATAAGCATATTTAAATTAATAACTTTGATATTTTATTTAAAGAAAAAATAAATAAATAAATTTTTAAAGAAATATTGATAAAACGTTTTTATAAAATTATTTAAAATAATATTTATTTATTTTGGTTAGGG